TTTAGAAACAGAGCACACACACACACACACACACTGTTCACGAGCTAATGGTATTTGTTCAGTTTCTCTAAATGCTCTGTTTACTCCCCCGTGCGTTATTTGGACGTTTATCCATCAGACCGCAGCACTTTAACCGGGTTAGTTATCGTCGCTAGCTAGCGTGCTAACAATGGGGACGTGAGTATTTCATTGTCGCCGCAATTAACGCGAACACTAAGCTAACATTAAAATGGCTCGTGTCGCTGCATCACACACCGGGTAGTTCAGCGGGAAATACCCGTTTGTTCCCATCTGCTTGTGCAAGTTCGTGTACCGTCAGTCTGCCAGTGTATCTGAGGAGTATGTGGAGTTTAATAGAAGAGATTAGATTTGTATCTGAGGTCTGATCGTAGCAGCATAGCCCACGGGCATTAGAATGTTGATCAATACCATCACGTATCTTTTCAGTGCATGTGATGCTTGTGAGAAAGTGACTCTGGTTTACTTGCGTTTAAGTTTTTTGGAGGCAAAAAAAAAAAATCCAATAACGTGTGTTTTATTTCTTTTCTCATTTCAGGTGATGTTGGAAATTATTACTATGGTCAGGGCCATCCCATGAAGCCCCACCGCATACGCATGACACACAACCTGTTGCTCAACTATGGCCTCTACAGAAAGATGGAGATATACGTATGTGAAACAACAGAACTACAAAAGCATTCATTAGTGCACATACCTCAGCCAATGACCACTATCCTGCTCAAATTCAATCAAGCTGCACCAAGTTGCACAAACTTATAGATGTCCCTTTTAAATGTGCCTGATTTTTTTTCATCAAGGTCCATGAACCTGGGAAATTGTTGAAAAAACTTTAATGGCCTCTTTCCTGGCCCATACCACATTCCTTCACTAAGTATTGTGATTATTTGTCCAGTAGTTTATTCATAATCTTTCTTACAAATAAACTAACCAACAAACATGCAGGGGAAAAAACATAACCCCCTTGACGTGCTTCTTCCGTGTGTCTACCCTGGACCTTCATTTTGTCCTCTTCTATTTCAGCGTCCGCACAAAGCCAGCGGAGAGGAGATGACCAAGTATCACAGCGATGACTACATCAAATTCCTGCGTTCAATCCGACCTGACAACATGTCTGAGTACAGCAAACAAATGCAGAGATGTACGTTTGCTACAGATGTAGACCACGTAGATAAAGTTAATTAAAATGTGTAATTTGACACGAGTGGAAATATTCTTAATGCTCATTTCTGTGCTATTCCTTTGCAGTTAATGTTGGGGAGGACTGTCCAGTGTTCGATGGGTTGTTTGAGTTCTGCCAGCTCTCAGGGGGAGGCTCTGTTGGTAAGTTCATTCTCTTCGGACGATCATGCTGTGCTGGACAGTAATCATGCCGTCACTGCCCCACTAATCTGTTAAGTTTACTATTTTAATCACCCTGTTAATTCTTGTCTCCTCGCTGTGGTGCAGCCGGTGCTGTAAAATTGAACAAACAGCAGACGGACATCGCCATCAACTGGGCTGGGGGCCTGCATCACGCCAAAAAGTCTGAGGCCTCTGGGTTCTGCTATGTCAACGACATTGTCCTGGCTATTTTGGAATTACTGAAGTAAGAGCAAAAGCCCTATCACTTGATTACAGAGTGGTTTCCCATGAGTAGATATTACTTGACATAGTTGTTCTGAAGAAAATCCTTGTGGGTCAAAAACAGCACAACATTAATAAAATATCCGCTCTTTCCCAGGTACCACCAGAGAGTTCTGTACATAGATATTGACATCCATCATGGCGACGGTGTTGAGGAGGCCTTCTACACCACAGACCGTGTTATGACCGTTTCCTTCCACAAGTATGGAGAGTACTTCCCTGGCACAGGAGATCTGAGGGTAAGCCTTACATTTTGTTTTGTTTTGCACATATAAGCCATATTGTCACAGTTATATTAAAGTTGATGTTTGTCTAAAGGACATCGGAGCTGGGAAGGGTAAATACTACGCGGTGAATTATCCACTGAGGGATGGGATTGATGATGAGTCATATGAAGCCATTTTCAAACCTGTAAGTAAATACAGATTTACATTTTTTTGTCATATTTTGGAAGTTGATATTGCTGTGGAGGGTCAGGCACATTTGAAAGTGGCTGGTGTTGTTTGTGTAGATCATGGCCAAGGTGATGGAGATGTACCAGCCCAGTGCTGTGGTTCTACAGTGTGGAGCCGATTCTTTGTCAGGAGACAGGCTCGGCTGCTTTAACCTCACCATTAAAGGTAAGTTAACTGGAGATTTCTCTCCTCATGATGTGTTTTCGAACTATTTCTAAATATTGTATTCATCCCATGATGTGTGTTCAGGCCATGCTAAGTGTGTGGAGTATATGAAAAGCTTCAACCTCCCCCTGTTGATGTTGGGTGGAGGAGGCTACACCATCCGTAACGTGGCACGCTGCTGGACCTATGAAACTGCTGTAGCCCTTGACTCCTCCATCCCTAATGGTGAGTGTTTAAAGCCATGTTACATTGAATGCAGGTTATCTGGTTTTCATTTGAAACTTATATTATTTATATTAAAAGGCTGTGCCATAGTGTTGTCAAATGCAAAATTCATAGTTAAATATGATTTGTATTGTGAGAAACTCTGACGAAAAACTTGCTAATCAGCTAAATTAAAAGACACATGATTTTGACACAGCATCTTAAATGTGGTGATTGGCTTCCGTTTGATTATTTACTCAAAGACCTTTGAAAAGAATTATCACGTAAAAGAAAACATCTATTTTCAGATGACTCTGTCACTGTGCAAATGTCATGAGATTACATGGATGACATTTTATGGAAGATAATATCTAGATCAGTAAAAATAATAACTTGCAGCCCTGTTATCAAAGGGTGTTCTTCTCAGAGACACATAAAAGGAGCCCGGCTTAAAACGTTTTTACCGGCCTTTTATAAACAGTAACATCATTTCAATAAAAACATACTTTCTTAGAAGAGGTAATACAGAATTGCATATTGATCTTTGAAAACATCTACTATTAATTCCACAGAGCTCCCATACAACGACTACTTTGAGTACTTTGGGCCGGACTTCAAACTGCACATCAGCCCCTCCAACATGACCAACCAGAACACCAACGACTACCTGGAGAAGATCAAGTAAGTCCATGATCGTGCATAATTTCACAGCATTATCTGATTAATTCTTCACCAGTTACCGCTTTCATGTTTTTCTTGTCATTGACGCATAATAAGTAAAGGTTAAAACTCTCTATCTTCCAGGCAGCGCTTGTTCGAGAACTTGCGTATGCTGCCTCACGCCCCAGGAGTCCAGATGCAGGCCATCCCAGAAGACGCTGTACAGGAGGATAGTGGAGATGAGGAGGAAGACGACCCCAACAAACGCATCTCCAGTAAGCACCTTTTGCACTCCTCATTTTCTTCACTATCGTGCAGTCCTCACGTCACGTTCTGATTGAACTCTGTCCTCTGGTAACGTACAGTCCGTGCTCATGACAAGCGGATAGCATGTGAGGAGGAGTTCTCTGACTCGGAGGATGAAGGCGAAGGAGGCCGCAGAAATGCAGCCAGCTTCAAGAAAGCCAAGCGAGCCAAAACAGAAGGCGAGAAAGAGGGAGAAGAAAAGGAGAAGAAAGGTGAGGAGGAAACAAAAGGTATCTATTCATTTTTATTATTTTTATCTCATCCCCTTTTTTAAAAAGAAGAGATCACTTTCAAGCTTATGAACTCACAATACTTTATCATGTTTAAAACGCTGTGATTCTATTTTTATTTCATAGAAGTGAAAACAGAGGAGAAGGTACCAGAGGAGGAGAAAATGGACACATCAAAGTGAGTAAAAAAATCTGCATACGTTTATTGACCATGGTTTCCAGGGAGTGGCTGATGGAGAGTATTCATTATTTTCCTGTTTGGTTCTTTAGGCCAAAAGAGGAATCCAAGACACCTTGAGGTGCTCAGCACCAATGATGCCAGTGCAGCTGATCAGAACGGATCACACATTTTTTAGATCAATTATCATCCAAGGCTGCGGCTATGGAAATCAGTGAAGGACTAAACCTTTGTATTGAAACATCCTTCTCCTTCTGAATAGGAGGAGGCTCTTATCATGTTTTTCTAGGACAACTTTTCAACTTTGCTGTTTATGGACTGGCGGTTTTTCTGAGTCTTGTATTGTTTTTGTATGCTTTTTCATTTTTGTTGTCCTCAATCTTTTGAAGCGGTGACACTTCTTCCTCCCTTTTGTGAAGCAACTCTGTACAAAATTGCTTAATTACATGTGTGCTTTTATATATCTGACTGATTTAATTTATTTAAATCATAGATATTTTTGGCTATTCTGTTTTATTATGTCTTTCAGCCCCCACTTTAGCCCTGTGCCTTTTTGAATATGTAGTTCAAGCATGTTTGTACAATAGATCTTTTCCTGCATTACATTCGTGTCACTGGTCTTGCCTGTTAAGGTCACCAAGAATGGTTAAGAGGGTCGTCTAAACCTATATACCTCTTACGTGTCAGTGTCATTTACATTCTTATATTTTAGGTTATGATAGGACGTGTCCTCTACTGACACATTCACTTTTTCTTTGTTAAATTTGTGACCCAGAATATAAAAAAATGTTTTGGGTCCAGTATCAGGCTGAGGACTTGAATGTCCAATATACTGTGTAGTACTGTGTGAGTACTATACAGTATATTATACAATCCAGCAGTACTCTTTAGTACCCAGTGTACAATATGAGGCACATGCAAGAATTAATTCATTTGTTGTATATATTTATATTCTGATAAACATAAGCAAAAGTGTTCCACATGAGAGATCACAAATGTCATTTAAATGTGACAGACTCTGGTGTGTGTTGTACACATTTTAAACCAATAAAAATCTGCCCTAAAAATATGTAAATGTGTTGTTTTTTTATTATGTATTAAAATGTTATGTCTGATTTGTTGTGTGCATTTGAATAAGAAAACTATTTAAAGTCAAAATACAGGCGACACAGATTTATTTTTATACCAATACAAACAAAATTAGATTATTTCAAACCAGCAGTATTTTATCAGATAAACAGAAACTTGTGATGTAGAGGGAAATAAAATGTCTTTGTGTTTGTCTGACAAAGGACCTCACCAAACATTCATTGTGTAACAGACATAAATGACAACAACTTCACATACAACCTATGACATTAGGTTAAGCTGGTTCAGAGCCACTCGCTCTGCTCGACTCTAGTGCTGCTATCCAGCAGATCGTCCTGCTCCACCGGCTCAGCTTCAGCTTCAGCATCAGTTTCAGCATCACCTTCAGCGTCGATCTCTGGGTCTGGTGCTGGCGTTGGGGTGTCAATTCTTCTTTGGATTCGCACCTGAACGGACCATGAAGTGCAATGTCAGAGAAGCCAACTTACATTTGTGACTTAAGCTTTGTTAACGTATTATGCTTGTACACTGTCCTTAACCTAACATGGGAAAGTCAAGATTGCTGTTCACACATTCAGTCTCAAGGGAAAATTAAAATTTTTCTGTTTCCTAGACTGACAATTTCTAAAATCGTATTTATTGGAAATATTTACTAATTAACACACGAGCCCACAGGACATTTAACATATATTTGTGAGGACTGGGATTAAAAGGAAAAATGATGGTGATGAGACAACATGAGATGCGGGACAAAGTTGCCACACTGTCCTCGTCAGGTTTGTCTCATCAGCAGGTCTTAACCACTGTCTGTATTCCCATCTCTCTGTATTATATTCAATGCCACATTGATATTTGTGGACAGAATAAAGACAGGTCAGTTCACTGTTATTTACTGTTTATTTTTCTCAAATGTCGAACGTTATTCAAATTCAAACTTTTTGTTTTTCAAAACACCTCATTTATCACTGTCCTGTTGCAAAACACATTTTCTTAAATACACTAAAGCAAATCTGTAATTCAAATTTAACTGGTAAATGATCTGCATTTCTAGTCTTAGACAAACACTCAAAGTGCTTAACAACCCGAGTCATGATCACAATCACAATTCAAACACCTTTATAAAGTGCCTCTGTATGTCACGCCTATCACACTGATAGAACAGACATCAGGCAGTTTAGGGCTCAGTGCCTTGCCTAACCCTTCAGCATAGTTGCTGGAGAGGCCAAGTATTGAACCCCCAACCCTCTGGTTAGTGAACGACCCACTCTTCCTCCAACGCATCCCTCTTTAATGTGACACAGGAAACATAACACACTCTATGCTCTCACACAAAACAAACACACACAGCCGGAGACAAATACTGCAGGTCTATCTAACCCTAACGCTGTGGACAGAGTCGATGCTGTGACAGTGACTTACCCTTCTCGGATGGACAGGCCTCGTCCTGCACGGGCACAGGTAGAGGTATGAAGTGCAGGCAGCGAAGCAGCGGAAGGAGAACACCGCTTCCACCACGGACATTAAGATGAGAGGCACCCACAGAATGATTGTGGTCGCCTGATCAACACAAAATATTTCCAGGTTTTTCCAGCAATTCAAGTGATTGCAAAACTTTCAATAGGTAAATATTTGAGTTAAACTTACATAGATACGGGTGGGGTCAAAGGGGCATTCGTATGTGATGCTGGAAGAACCGACGTCTTTAGCAGAATACTTGCAGTGAGTTAAAAGCCCCTTCCCTTTGTCAATTATGGCTTTTACAATCGAAACAGACAAGGCCAAGGTGGAGGCAACTGCCAGGAGGCCGGCCAGGAGGCCGAAGACCAATAGGACCCACTTCTGTAAACACAACATCATGACAATATATTTTAGAGTGTGTAAAATAAGACATATTGTCCCCTGTAAAAGAAAATGGGTTTGTCTTTGTTGGGTAGAGCAGGGGCAGATCCAGGAGCAGATCCAGGGGGGTAGTGGCCAAAGCTGAAATCTGAATAGCCCTCTTTATCAATGGAGCGGACAATAAACAAGGAATGACTTGAATGTGCACCTTACTGAATCAGGAATTGGGCATGGATGTTGGATATATAATTGGCCCCTCTGTGTAAATTGTGGCCCCTTTATGTATCCTGATTTTAAAAAGAATCCAAGATCCACCACTGTGTCAAAGGGAAGCAAGAGCTTGAAGCTAATACCACCTGTATGCAAATTCTTCCATGTATTTAAATTGAGCACACCATGAGTTCAGTGCAACACAAAGGGCAAGTCCCGACAAGAGCCAGTAAATGACAGATGTGAGAGCTGAATGGAGGAGGGAGAAGCTGTGTCACTGAGAGGGGGACAGTTGTTTACCAGGATCCTGTTCCTCTTGTTCTTGGACAGCACAATGGCCGTTATTCCTCCTATGATTCCCTGAGGGACACAAGATGTTACAGGTTGAGTAATCACAGACAGATCATAAATTACATAACAGAACAAAATTGTTCTATTTTAGGATTAAATATATAATACATAGAGTATAACCTGCTTATACTATCTTAAACTAGTACTAACAGCAATTTAAATCCATTATCCAAGAACACCTTTCATAGCTAAAACTGTAGTCTACATATAAAGATGGACGACATGAGAGTTCCCAAACAGTGAAGCCAAAGTGTCTTGTTTGCCATCTGGTGGTCTGCTGCTGTATATGTCATAAATCCAGCCACCTCCATGTTAGTGGACGGGACTTGGACCAAATAAGAGTCCAAGTACATGTCAAATAAATTTTGGATAGTTCTTATCACACTGATGTTTGCTCACATGTTTATTTTATTAAGTTTAGAGAGACTGTACGTGATTGGACAAGCATGTGTATCGCAGACTTCTTAGTGTGTCTAACTTCAGCTCTGTTGTTAGGAAACACCAATAAGGATGGGACAAGCTAGAAACCCCGACAGTGGAAATCCTCTGTAGACCAGACCAGTTTAAATTTGGTTCAGAGGTCACGGTCTACGTGGCCCACGAAGAAGGCAGGCTTCATGAGCAAGGTAGAATGAGTCCTCCGAAGGCTGCAGCCCCTGAATTGAGACACAGCTTCTGACTCCTAATACCCAAGAGGGCGGCGTTTGTATCCAGGATATTACCAATGTATTTCTGGACAAGGAGAGGGAGTTGAAACTCCACAGTCCATCTTTATGTAAAATATGTGGCTAAACCTTAAACCTTAAAAGTAATACCAAATTGATTCGGAATTCTTCTCTGCTCCCACTTACCATCAAGCCTGCCACAATGGCAATGACGTTAGAGATGGCGTAGACCATGGTGCGGGCCTGAGAGTGCACGTTAATGTGCCTGAGCACAGCACCGTGCACCAGTGCTCCGAGAAGGAAGTTGACGTGGCCCACCAGCACCAGCCCCAGACCCATCTTCATCAGGGCTTTGTTGTCCTTGAGGCTGGCACAACATACTCCTACAGGAAGAAGAAATATGTAATTTAGACCTCATAGACTCAACTCTGTTATAATATAATGTTAAAACGACTAAATAGTGATTGCTGTTCAGCAGCCTGTATTGCCAGAGTGAAGCATGAGGCTCTAATGTAAATACTTGACAGAAGCCAACTGAAATGTGAAGTAAGAGCATGCACATAAGTGTATTTAACATCATCGGTTATACAGAACAAGCTGTAACTTGTGAGAAATTGTGTGGGAGCTGACTTGACGTTGCAGCAGAGCAAACAGGAAGCTAGCCAGCGGTTCAGCACACCATAGTAACACTTGAGTATATAAGGCAGTCGCCCACAACTATTCCGCACCCCTGCAGAGACAACTGATGATGTCATCCACCATATAGCTGCTGCAGCTATGGTGACATTTCAGAGATGGGGAGGGTGGGGTCTGGGGAGATTGTGTTGCTGCACTATTAAGTTCCTATACCTCTGAGGGGACAAATGTGAGCCACCCAACCACCAACCCACCCACCCACCCTTAAAGTCCACGTTATGTCTCCCCCTCCATGAATTCAACAGGACAAAGGTTTGGGTGGGGTGTTCAAACATTCACCACCACAGTCAGCTGGCCTGGGGGGGTTGGGTGGAGACTTACACTGGCTTCCATCTCGGTCTCATTCATTCCTACAGGTGGGTGCTGTGGAAACACCACCGGTGTTTTTGGTCATAATATTGTTTGTGTAGTGTTTGTTGCCATTTAAGTGCAAAGTATCACACACTGTCACTGTGTTGTAGAGACTAACAAAAACATTCAGCAGTGAGGATTTTAACTGGAACTAAGAGATATGATCACATCACGCCTGATTTGTCATTTTTGCACTGACTCCCAGTTGATTTTAAAATTGCATTGATAACTTTTAAGGCTCTTCATCGCCTGACCCTAAATCTTTTAATACCCAGTTTGTCTCTGTGGAGTTTGTGATCTTCAGTTAAGGTTCTGCTGTCACTTCCTGAATTATAGGCTGAAACCTATAGGGGGGAGAGTGTGTTCCATCACTGTCCCAAGTCTCTGGAATGAACTGCCTGAGGAAAGAAGACTGTCTGTCTGAGATAGTGTCTTCTTTAAGTCTCAGCTAAAACCGTTCGAATTGATATTACAGAATTTAACCGTG